GAGCATAGCGCAGACGCTAGGACGCATCCCTGCACTGCGCGCGTGCACGAGGCCGCCGCCAGCCCCGTTCCAACCGGTTCGGGTGGAACGGGGCCGGCGGTGTCCTCGTGCATGCGTGCGGTGCACGCATGCGTACTAGCATCTGTGCGATGCTCCAGCTGCTCCTGGAGGATCACGCAGGCGCTGTATGTGTCCTGAGCATGCGTGGAAGCGCAGAACTTGTCAAAACCGGGTATCGCGCAGGCGCTGTATGCGCCCTTCGCCGCTCCCGGAAGTTACTTACTTCCGGGTTCGCCGACCAACCGGTTCGCAGGGACCGCCACGAACCGGTTGAAACCCACCCCTGCTGCTAACTAATGTGAACCCCCACCCCCTGCCTTGTGGTATTTACCTAAACCTCCCATTTTCAGCCTTTGACTGCCAGCAATAATGCCAGGCGCATCTACCAGCTTCATTGTTATTTAATGCTTTTCTCTGTGTTTTTTTCTTTCAAAGGGGAAGCAAGGAAAAGATGGAGAACCTGGATTGCCAGGTTTGTCTGTAAGTCTTTTCTATCTTTCCTTCGTGTCCAGATAAAACCGCTGTGAAATGTTTGTAGGATTGAGAGTTTTTCTTTTCCTCATGCCCAGGGTTTTCCCGGTGATCCTGGCACATCTGGCATCCCAGGAAGAGATGGAGACAAAGTAAGTAATATAGTTTAGAATCTTCCTAAGACTAGGTGAGGGAGGCGGTGGCTCAGGCGTTAAGATGCTGAGCTTGTCGATCAGAAAGGCTGGCAGTTTGGCAGTTCGAATCCCTACATATACATGCATAATGGAGTGTATCCTTGTAATCTAAATGGACATGATCAATTCCTCAGTAACATTTTGCTTCTTAATAGAAGCACTTGGTTCTGTGTAAAATAGGTCAAATTGGTTGCAAATAGATGTAGAGGTTTATAAATCTGAGAGCTGCCTTGCATAGGGAAAAGGCTTTTGTTGTAGCAATATATTTGTCAGTGCTCAAATGGTTGGGTAATATCTCTTTCTGGGGTTTTGTGTGCGTGTTTTATGTCCACATTTTTAATCTCTTTATTTAGTTTAGTTTTGTTCTTGTAAATTTTCCATTTTTCTCTTGGCATTTATATTTTAATTTTCTCAATGGCTAAGACGCTGAGCTTGTTGATCAGAAAGATCGGCATTTCGGCAGTTCAAATCCCCAGCATCGCGTAACGGAGTGAGCTCCCGTTACTTGTCCCAGCTTTTGCCAACCTAGCAGTTCGAAAGCACATAAAAATGCCAGTAGAAAAATAGGGACCACCTTTGATGGGAAGGTAACAGCGCTGCATGCGCCTTAGGCATTGAGTCATGCCGGTCACATGACTACAGAGACATCTTCGGACAGCGCTGGCTCTTTGGCTTTGAAACGGAGATGAGCACTGCCCACTAGAGTCGGGAACGACTAGCATATACAGTATGTTCATAGGGAACCTTTACCTTTACCTTAAGAATAGGTGGAGTTGTGCTGGGCTTGGTTTTCTCAGGAATACAGATGTTGCAATGTTTATGTTGTTGGCAGGGTCAAAAAGGAGAAGCTGGTTTTCCTGGCCCACCTGGATTGGTAAGTCTTAATCCTATCTCTTCTGCTTCCTCCTTTAAATTGCATTTCAGGCAGATTCTTCTTCCTATTTCAAAGGTATTTCTTCAGTGAGCGTCTTTTAGAACTTTTTCTTTTGCCATTATTAAATCCTGTGGTATAAAAACATTTTTTTTAAAAAAAATGGCAATGCAATATGTTTGTTCTTGCCTTAGTCCTAATTGAGAGGGGTATTGTATCTGCTTGCGTCCTCGTACATTAAAGCTATTGCAATATTCAGAAGAATGACCAGCTTAAAATGTTTCTTTTACAGCCATTCATTTGGTGACCTTTTAAAGTTATAACAGCACTGAAAAAAAGCAGCATTCCCAGGGTCACATGATCAGAATTCGGACTCTTGGCAACTGGCATGTACTTGTCACTGTTGCAGTGTCCCGAGATGATCATCTTTTGACAAGCAAAGTCAATGGGAAAGCCAGGTCACTTAACAACCGTGGCAAAAAAAAAAAAGGTTGTAAATTTGTAAAAAAAACACCTCACTTGGCAAACGTCTCGCTTAACAACAAAAAATTGGGGTCAATTGTGGTCGTAAGTTGAGAACTGCCTGTAAAACATTAAAGAGAATGTAGATTTTCAGACAAAAAAAATCAACAAAAGAGCTTCGCTGGTTCTTTTTCCCCATGTTTAGAAACTGTAATTTCTAGGGGATATATAATTTTATTCTTTATTTATACCCATTAATGTTTAGATTTGTCAGGGCAAGCCATTGAGAGTATAAATAGAGAGCAAACCCTACCCCTTCTAGCACTGATGACATTATCTTGTTTGGTAGTGAAACGTCTACAAGAAATCCACCAAGCTAGAGAGCACCAGTGGTTTTAAAGAAGGACCCCACTCGTTTAGATTTATCACCTGGGGAACAATTGTGTTAAAAAGTAATAGAAAAACAAACATTACATCCTGTGATTTATTCTGCTGGGTTGTTAGTATATTGTTATATTTATTTGCTTCACTTGTCTCCACCTTAACAGGCAGAGAGATCAAACAGGTTTTGATGAGAAAGCAAACTAGTTGTTACGATCCTTGCAATTTATTTCTTTTGCTTTTAATAAATCTTGTTAAAGAAAATTCTGAAATAATTTTGATTTCAGAAGTCGGCTGAGCAAAACCTAATAACAGGGAGACAAATGTCCTGCTTTTATTTGTGCTTTGAAAAACCTTTTCAGACTTCTGCTTTTAATGTTTTTAAATTTGTTTTTAAATTTTGAGGACTAGCCAACTGGAGAACACTCTGTTCAGAGCAATGAAAACACAGTCTCTCTTACGGGCCAATAAATCCCTGCATGCTAGCATTGATAGAGTATTAAGAAAAATACCCACAAGCATTTATTCCCATATGCTGGTGTTCTCACCTAGGCTTCCTGAGAAAGCATACATCACAATCTTAGTCCCAAAAACCCTCTTTTAGTTATACGGCTATAAATTATGGTGTTCACAGTCCACAAGGATTCACAAAAAGTCTGTGAAGGTTCCGACAGATGTCTGCTTGAGTTGCCACAGTCTTTCAGGGGAATGTTGATAAACACCCACCTTACCTCCTTCAGAATGCTGCCAGAAACCTAATTGCCAAATGCAGAGCAAGGCCAAACTTAGCACAGAGTCAAACAGAACTTCTCAAAGCTTGAATTGACCAGATGAACTAATTGCTTCCTGCAAAAGCTCATGCCCCNCCCACCTCAGAAGGATGGAAGGCTGAGTCAACCTTGAGCCTGGTGAGAATCAAACTCCTAGCAGTGGGCAGAGTTAGCCAGCAATACTGCATTCTAACAGGAAGGAAGGAAGATCGCAATAGCACTTAGGCTTGTATACAGCTTCACAGTGCTTTTATAGCCCTCTCTAAGTAGTTTACAGGGTCAGCCTCTTGCCCCCAACAATCTGGGTCCTCATTTTACCCACCTCGGAAGGATGGAAGGCTGAGTCAACCCTGAGCCTGTTGAGATTCGATCTGCCAAACTGCTCACAGCCGGTGATCAGTAGAAGTAGCCTGCAATACTGCACTCTAACCACTGCACCACCACGGCTGCATATCTCCACCTTTCTCTATGTTCTACACTTCAGATGTCACATTTGTTCTGGATTTTCTGGCATAGTCTTAAATACAGGAACATTTCAAGTTAATCTCCGTACTTCTAGATTCTACTTTCATTTCTAGTAGACAGATTACCAGAATAGAATCTAGTAAGTGAAAGCTGACAAGGTCATTCCTTAATCTTATAAATGGATATCAATGGGTGGTTCTCCCCCCCCCCCACTGAAATGAAAAACCCATCCATTTACAACCAGCCATCCTGGTTTTATTCACTGAATTTCTCTCTCCATTTTATTTGAATTGTGGTGGCTGTGATCCCAGTGAACCTCCATTTTCCTATCAAGAAGGAAGAAAAGAAGAAGAAGAAAAATCCATTGCTGGTGGATTTTGTCACCATTTCAAAATGATCTTTAAATTTAACAGAACTGTCTGGGAATAAGACCTGAGGGAAGTGGTGGCCTAGTGGAGAAGACCCTTTCCTCCCACTCGGAAAATTGAGAGTTCAATTCTAGGCAGCAGCAGGTGTTTCTTTATCAGGGCTCAAAAAGAAAATATCTGCTGTGAACTCTGCACAGGTGTCAGGAAGAGGATCCGGCCAGTAAAAGCTCAGCTCCATTCAGTCACCTTAACTCTACCACAAATAAAAGGGATTATAAAATTGTAAAATGAAAAAAAAAGTGGGGAATAAAATGAAGGGGCTGGAATGCTCTAACATTGGAAGGCTCTGATTTGCTATTCAGAGTTAGAGTAGAAATTAGAGGGCAAAACCAATGTCTTTTCTGGAGAAATGAAATCCATTTTATTGCATACCATGGGAGAGAATAGCTTCAGGCTAGCACTTCCCATCTTGTTTTCAGCCTTGAAATTTGCTTTAATGGTTCCTGCTAACCAGGGGTGGGTTTCTCGTCCCGTTCCAACCGGTTCGGTTGGAACGGGGCCGGCGGNGTTCCAGCTCCCTCCCCCTGCCTGTCCACGCATCATCAAGATGAAGAGCGAGAGGAGGAATTCTGGGAGTTGAAGTCCACAAGTCTTAAAGCTGTCAAATTTGAACACCGCTGGAGTTTTTTTTCTAAAGGGTTAGGGTTAGGGGTGCAAGGGTCTTGTAACTTGAAAGGTTTAAGATTTGGGTGCTTCAAATGCCAGAGTTCCTGACCCAACATAACTGGAGGAGGAATTCTGGGAGTTGAAGCCCACAAGTCTTAAAGCTGTCAAGTTTGAACACCCCTAGATTTTTTTTCTAAAGGGTTAGGGGTGCAAGGCTCTTGTAACTTGACAGCTTTAAGACTTGCATGCTTCAAATGCCAGTTTCTGAGCCAACATTTTGGTTGCTAAGCATGAGTGTTGTTAAGTGAGTTTCACCACATTTTACAAGTTGACCATGCCCATCCAGTCACATGGCCAGCAAGCCACTCACACCCAGTCACATGGCCAGCAAGCCACTGCCACAAAGCAGGCCACACCTACAGAAGAGATTCTAAAAAATTTTAAAACCCACCACGGGAGGTAATCCAACTGGTATTGGAGATTTGGGTTTGTTTAAATTAGAGATTTGGGTTTGTTTAAATTTGCTAAATTGTCTCTGATCCTCTCCTTGTCTATCCTAAGTATCAATCCTCTTCTTCAGGCTGTTAGTAAAATGATGACTAGCTAGGATTGAATTTCTGAGAAAACCAGGCATGAAATAGGACGGTCACAGGGAAAGACGGGTATGCCTCAGCAGTAATTTTACTGTGCGAGCCTATCAACCGCAGATTGATTTATCCTGTGTACAGAAATAGTTCTGGAAATTAATGAGTTCCTTTACATTAATAGGGTCCTCCTGGTCCCCCTGGATTGCCGGGTCCTAAGGTATGGCATATGATAACCTTTTGTATCTGATTAGTTGTTGTTGCTTTTTCAACTGTCTGTCTGAAACTTTCAATTAACTGAAATGATGCTTCATAGGGCAACAATTTTTGCATCAAGATACCTCAGATCTGCTAAGTTAAAAATGCATAGATATCCATTACTCCTGTGTAACTGAAATTTCAAGGGTATCCACACCAGTTATCTTTGCAAACTTGTGGCTACTGCAGCACCACTGTGGTCAGCGACAGTCCTGTGAACATGCTTTCCAATGCTCCCCGCCAGCTTCCCATAAGCAAAGTCAATGGGGAAGCCAGCAGGAAGTCAGAAGTCATCCCAGCCCTGCTACTTTTTTTGCCCACCTGTGGTCATTCTGTTTATCTCTTTAGGTAGGTAAATATTGTCAAAGGATGACTCCACCTGTTGTAGGTTGTCTAATCACTATTGAAATCACTGCAAACATAAAAGAAATCAATATAGTTCTATAAGGCGCATTCTAGCCAAGGTTCATCATTCCCATTATTATTTCATTTCATCTTCATGGTAGTCATTGTTTTCCATTCTTTTTCAGGGCAATATGGGCTTGAATTTCCAAGGACCCAAAGGAGAAAAAGTGAGTGTGAAATATTGAGCCGGCCCTTTGAACTGATTTCCAGGATTGCTGACTCTTTCTGGGGGAGTGACAAATACAACTAATCCTTCTCACTGTCTTTTTGGGGGCGGTTAGGGTGAACAGGGACTTCAAGGACCCCCAGGGCCACCAGGACAGATTGGCGAACAGAAGAGAATCAATGATGTAGAATTTCAAAAAGGAGATCAGGTGAGTGAGAGGAGATGGTCTTGGTGGTACCTTTCAGCCACAATGGCTCAAGACCATATGCTAAATTGCAATTCAGAAGATTTATTGCTCAAACCTATACACGAGAACCTCAACTAAAGTTCAACACTAAATTGGAACCACATATGGGTCAATGGAATTCAGGAGGGGTTGGACTTGGACTGTTTGTGGCAAAATAATGACTCTAGACTGATGACTTGTTTAACTTCACTGCCCCCAACTCTACCAGCTCTTCTCCCACCATTCTCACTCAATTATTCAGTTGCATTGATGGGTTACACTGGATCATCCTCTAGCATTTACCACCATGTTCACAGTACTAATCTGATCGTACCCTACAATCTCTTTGTCTTTACAGACAGATCTATAAATTTTGCTATACATCAAAGAAAAGGTGAAAAGTGTGGAACAAGAACCAGATTTTAGTGTTCTTCATTTGTCCTCATTTCAATTTTAAAGTTGCCCTTTCCAACATGCTCTTCTGCATTATGTTTCCACAGAAAAGAGCCCAGAACCCAATAGCTTAATCTTTACAATAGTTAGCATGGTGTGCCTTCAGATTTACAAACACCCAATACATACAACCATATAGACCTGGTGTCACTATCATAAGATCTTCTCAAAAAGTCCTTGAAAGTCCTCCAGAAACATCCTTTCCTTTCTCCTCTTGGACATATACAGTATCATCTTAATGGAAGTACCATGGGTGAGGGGCTTGTGAAAAAAATGTTTAACATGTAGTTAAAATCTTGAGATTTGCCAAATCTCACAAGATTTGTACTGAAGACTTCAAAATCTCTGGCAGATTGCCCATCATCCTGGATTTCAGGCAGATGTGTGTACTTATTTTAATTGAATGTGGGTCCTAAGGAGCCACATCTGCAGAGACAGTGCCAAACATTTTCAACATCAAAGAACACAATGTAATGACATCATGGTTCAATGATTTGTCTAACTGATTCAATGGACCAAGTGCATCTGGGTGATTTTAAATTGATCTAGTAGTTTGACAGACTTTTGTGCATACACATCAGTGGTGGATTCCGGATTCCGTTCCCACTGGTACGATTGGAACGGCCCCGGCCTCACCCACATGGGCGCTTAGGGCGCGCGCATGCATTGTAGTTGCAAATGACGCTGGAGCGTCGCAGAGGTTTGAGGAAGCGTCATTTGCAACTACAATGCATGCGCGCGCCCTAAGCGCCCATGTGGGTGCTGTATGTGCCGTGCGTGTGCGTGGAAGCGCCAAAAGCTTTAAAACACAATAAGAAGCTCGGGCAGGTGGATGGGCCCTCCGGAACACCGTACTGGAATGGTACCAGGTGATCTGGGCAGGCTCCGGTACATCCGTACCAGGGCATACAACTTGCAACCCACCACTGATACACATACATGCATACAGCCTTTTGAATTATATCAATTTGATTAGTCACTCAAAGCAGTTATTTGAGTGACAATTGGAATTAAATTGGACTGATAAAGATAAATCGTCTAGTATTAAGGCACTAGGTTAAAAACCAGGTCCAGTGAGTTCTAGTCCTGCCTTAGGCATGAAACCTTGGGCCAATCACTGTCTCTCAGCCCAATTCACCTCACAGGGTTGTTGTTGTGGGGAAAATAGAAAAAGGAAGATGTGTTGGATATGTTTGCTGACTTGAGTTATTTGTAACAATAATAAAGGCAGGATACAAACAAATAAAATAAATGTATCCTCTCCAATAATTGACAATACTTTCCATGGAGTTTGAGCACATACTGTATTTGTCCACAAAATCTGAAGGTAAAACTTGATCAGAACCTCACCGTCAACTGTCCAATTGGTGAATCCAAAAAAAAAAAGAAACTCCTGGGACATTATTTTACGAAGTGTATAAAACTTTACTGGAAAAAACCACATTGGCACAGAAGAAGTAAAACCAGCTCTGGGTTTCCCACACAAAAGGAAGCATAGTTCATTTCCCCCCTTTCCCTATGGGCCACTCACAGTCTAGTACATTCACCCATTCATTTTGTTATGGGAAACAGCCAGCCACCCTGGGACATCTGCTTGGTGTGTCCTTGGGTCTCACAGAAAGTTACAGTTGCTTGGATACCATTCCTCCACCCTTGCATTCCACCCCCAACCCCTGTTACAATCAAACTGTGAGCGAAGCAAAGTGAAAGTCCAAATCAGTCTTGATAGGATGGATTTATAACTATTTCCCTTTGCTCTTGACAGGGTGATACAGGTGACCCGGGCCCCCCAGGATCCCCAGGGTCTCCCGGGCCTCCTGTGAGTATTTTCCTTTGCTTCATTTGTGGAGGGGCATCAGGATTGTCCAAAGGTTGGGTTCCTATTCACTGATAATGGGGTGCTTTTTCTGATTTCCAGGGCCCTCCTGGCGGTGGAAAAGGTGAAAAAGGTGAGCAAGGAGAACCAGGCAAAAGAGTAAGTAACTTCTTAGAACCCAATATTTACCTTTCCAAACCATGTATAGCTTTGGGAGTTTAGTAAGCCACCAAATATTGGGTAAGACTTTTTCCTTTCTCATATGATCTGCTAGAGTTGGTGTGGATGAAGCCCTCCTGAATGAGAAAGAGGTCATTGAAAAATGCATGAACACAACCACTATCAATGCAGTTTAACCAATAGACACCAACATTTAATTTTTAATCTGGATTAAGGAATTCAGATAATTTCTTCTTCCTGGATTTCATCTTTGGAACACAAATTGGAAGGGACATATATATAAAAATGAAGATGTCATTTTTGCTTTCCAACCTCTGGTTGCTCAGAAATTTGGACAAATGGGTAAATACTGGGCCTTGGCCCCGAAATCCACAACTGGCAGTTATATAAGCAGAAAAGGAAAGAATGGACATTCAGCTTGTCCAGGATGGTATAATATCTCCTGTCTTGGGCAGTGGATTGGACTAGAAGACTTTCAAGGTCCCTTCTAACCCTAGGATTCTAGAAGCATAGAAAGGATGAATCAGAGTAACCCATGTTCTGATTTCTGGGAGTTCCATTTAGCATTTATGGGAGAGGCCAGGGCTATAATAGATGGCATAAGAATCCAGAATGAATGAATAATATTCCCCTCCAGACTTTACAGGAATAAGTCGACTTTTTCTTTTGACTTTGTGAAGCCCATTTCAACAAGGGCTATTGTGTTTTGTTTCTCAGAATGATGAAGTCAAAGACATACTAACTTATGCAAAAGGGTATATATGGCCCTTTTCCCCTTCGCTATATAGGTTGTGGGACACGGTGGCTCAGTGGTTAAAAAGCTGAGCTTGTCGATCAGAAAGGTTGGCAGTTCGGTGGTTCGAATCCCTAGCGCCGCATAATGGAGTGAGCTCCCGTTATTTATCCCAGCTTCTGCCAACCTAGCAATTCGAAAGCATACAAAAAATGCAAGTAGAAAAATAGGAACCCCCTTTGGTGGGAGGATAACAGCGTTTCGTGTGCCTTTGGTATTTAGTCATGCCGGCCACATGACCATGGAGANGAATAGAATAGAAAAGAAAATGGAATAGAAAATGGAATGGAATGGAATGGAATAGAATAGATGCAGTGGTTAGAGTGCAGCACTGCAGGCTACTTCACCTGACTGCAGTTCAGCAGTTCAAATCTCAGCAGCTCAAGGTTGACTCAACCTTCCATCCTTCCGAGGTGGGTAAAATGAAGACCCAGATTGTCATTCTGTTTTTAGTCTTTTACATTTTTGCTGGCCAGATATTATTGATTCAATCCAGGATCCTGAAATTCCACCATGTTGACTGTGCACCCGAGAATTCTAAGCATTGTAGTCCAAACCCTCCAGGAATTTCCAACACACTATTTTTATTTATTCTTTAGTTTTGATTTTTACTGTATTTTTAAATGGTTTTTTACTTGGAAGTTCGGCAGCATACAAATTTAAGAAATAACTAAACAAATCATGTCCATTTTCTTTGTCAGAATTCAGAATGGATACCAAGGATGCAAGTTTTGAAGCTCTTTTATGAATGAGAAGCTCCTCTGAACTTTTCCAGCATTCATTTCCTGTAAAATTGACACCTTGTCTTGACTCTCATTTGTTTTCTGTTCTTTCAGTTGATCGGCTTTGTGAGCGAGGACCTCCTGGCCCTCAAGGAAAGGGCGGAGAACAAGGTTTTCCGGGGGAAAGAGGCCAGAAAGGTATAAAACTAAAGGATTGTTCGTTTTTTGATTAGACCGAGATCTGCGGAATCGGTTTGGAATTTGGATTGTCTTATTGCTGCTGCTGTTGGAGCAGCTATTCAACCATTCTTCCCCCTGTAACATTCACAAGCTTCCTTTGAAATGCCTCTCAGGAGTTTTAGCTGTGGGTTGCCACAAAATTGGGGAGGACAAAAAGAAAACAAGTGGTCATTAAAATAGTCTCTGATGATGCTGTAAACCACTATTAACCAAAAAAAAACCACCTGCAAATTAATAAATATCTAGATACAATGAAGGCATTTTAGGAATATAGGATGTGATTTTAGGTTGCTCTTAATAGAAAACTACACCCTCACCAATAAGGGCAGAGCAAGCTATTGTATGTAAACAGGGAATAAACCCCACATGAGTTTGTTTTTTGGATACTCTATCAAAAAATTTTAAACTTTTGTAATATGTGTTTTTTTAATGTTTTACCCCGCCCTGAGTCCTTTGGGAGAAGGGCAGCATATAAATCCAATAAACAAACAAATATTTACTTACATTGTGGATAGGATGGGATGGGATGGGATGGGATGGGATGGGATGGGATGGGATGGGATGGGATGGGATGGGATGGGATNAAAAAATGCAAGTAGAAAAATAGGAACCCCCTTTGGTGGGAGGATAACAGCGTTTCGTGTGCCTTTGGTATTTAGTCATGCCGGCCACATGACCATGGAGACGTCTTCGGACAGCGCTGACTCTTCGGCTTTGAAACAGAGATGAGCACGCCCCCTAGAATCGGGAATGACTAGCACTCATGTGCGAGGGGCACTTTTTTAGTGAAAAAAATTTTCACTAAATATTTTAGTGAAAGGGCAGGAAGTCCTAAATATATAAATACCATTGGTTTCTCAGTGACTATAGAGGTTAGGGGAACACATCAACCAGTAATACCATCACACTCAAGAAATAGCAAATGTACAGGTAGTCCTCAACTTTCAACCATTTGAAGTCACAACAGCACTGAAAAAAGTGACTTATATCTGGTTCTCGAACTTATGACTGTCACAGCATCCCCTCCGTCATGTAACCAAAATTTGAGCCCTTAGCAATCAGCATGTATTTATGATGGTTGCAGCATACCAGGGTCATGTGATTGTTGTGGTGGTGCAGTGGTTAGAGTGCAGTACTGCAGGCCACTTCTGCTGACTGCTGGCTTCCTGAAATTTGGCAGTTCGAATCTCACCAGGCTCAAGGTTGACTCAGCCTTCCATCCTTCCGAGGTCAGTAAAATGAGGACCCAGATTGTTGGTGGCAATATGCTGACTCTGTAAACCATGTAGAGAGAGCTATGAAGCACTTTGAAGTGGTATATAAGTCTAAGTGCTATTGCTATTGCTATTTGTGACCTTCCCAACTGGCTTCTGACAAGCAAAATGGGAAGCCAGATTTGGTTAATGACTGTGTGATTCATTTAAAAACTTCAGTGATTTATTAACCAACTATAGCAAAAAAAAAAGGTCATAACATCAGGTGCAACTCATTTAACAACTACCTTGCTTAGCAATGAAATTTTGATCCCTATTGTGATCATAAGTCGTAAGGAGCGATGGCAGCGCAGTGGTTAGAATGCAGTATTACAGGTTAACTCTGCTCAATGCCACGAGTTCAATCGTAACCGGCTCAGACTCAAGGTTGACTCAGCCTTTCATCCTTCCAAGGTCGGTAAAATGAGGACCCAGATTGTTGGAGGCAGGATGCTGACTCTGTAAACTGCTTTGAGAAGACTATAAAATGCTCTGTGAAACTGTATATAAGTCTCAGTGCTATTGCTAAGTGCTATGTAAAGATGAGATTTCCATATTTTTTAGATTTCATCCACTTGAGTGCCTGAAATGCTTGCTACCCTGTATCCAATGGAAAAGCAAAAGTACTGAGCAAAGAGCTAAAGAAAAAGTTCCAATCTGGATTTAGGTCATCATCATATTATGGAAGGAAGAGACATTTTTTTCGTGAACCATTGATGCAGATTTCTTTGAGATATTGTGTGGAGTTTCTTGAGTGATCAACAACTTTAAGCTTGGAGTTCATTCCTGCTTTTCACTTGATCCTTATACATGACTTTGAAATCTGAAACGATCATTTGAAGAGGCATGTATTAAAAAGAAAGAGGAACACACAACCTCCTAGCTTTCTTTTGAGGCTACAGTAACTCTGAGAGTCAGGTTAGCTGCAATCAGATCTCCTTAACCATTTATTGAAAAGCAGGAGCTCTAAACTAGGATGGAAACAGGGTCTCCGTGGCAAACATTTATGGAGAAGATACCCACCAATGTTTGGGGCAAGGAATTGACATAGGGAATATGTGCCATGGCTTCACACCAGCCTTGTGCCATGGCTTCACACCAGTTTTCTCATATCTTAGCACTTGTATGGCTTTTGTTTTTTAGGATACAATAACTGTACTTATGCTGTGTCCTTGTTCATGCTTAAATTGGCCTCTAGAAGCCTGGTGCTCTCTAGGTATTTAGGTCTCGCAACCTCAGGTGGTCCTGGTCTGATTGTAAGATTGACAAAAGGCTGCTCCAAGTTACATGTTCATAAGCTTTTATGTAGCGAGTAAGGAAGATGACCTTGGTAGAGATATGCAAAATTGTAATTGAAGTCCACAACAAACAGGTAGTCGAGTGGCTTAGAAGGAGGCCTAGAGAAGAACAGCCCAGGGGGTTGGACTAGATGACCTGAAAGGTCCCTTCCAACTCTGTTAATGCAATCAAACATGCAAGACTGATGTCAGTGCCACTAGTTAGACCAGACCAAGAAATCAACTCCCCAGTCCTATAATAACAGAATCTTGCAAGTCTCCTCCTCCTTCACCTCCTCTTTCACATTCTCTTCCTTCATCATCATCCCATCTTCCTCCTCCTTTAATAAATTAGAGAAGTGATTCTTTATTAACATTATCTATTTGCTGTAGAATAAATATATTCATCCCATCTCCCTAGGAACAGATAGCAATAGCAATAGCACTTAGGCTTATATACCGCTTCACGGTGCTTTACAGCCCTCTCTAAGAGGTTTATAGAGTCAGCATATTTCCCCCCAACAATCTGGGTCCTCATTTTACCCACCTCAGAAGGATGGAAGACTGAATCAAACTTGAGCCTGGTGAGAATCAAACTCCTAGCAGTGGGCAGAGTTAGCCTGCAATACTGCATTCTAACAGGAAGGAAGGAAGGAAGGAAGATCGCAATAGCACTTAGACTTATATACAGCTTCGCAGTGCTTTTACAGCCCTCTCTAAGTAGTTTACAGAGTCAGCCTATTGCTCCCAACAATCTGGGTCCTCATTTTNGTTGGAATTACCGATTCGCCTGAACTGGTAGCATTTGTTACTACCGGTTTGGGTGAACCGGTAGTTTTGATGATTAGTGCCTGCGGTGGACATGCACGCGAAGTGCACATTTGGCGAAGCGAACTGGTAGCAGCCTTCGGAGCATTTCACCCCTGCTTGAGCTGTCAGACTTCTGAATGGAAAATAACTTTACAACAACATACTACAATCGACTTGCGCGGCTGGCGCAATGTGCAGTAAGTTCACATGCTGCAGTAGGATTGTATGTTTGTTAGTAGGATTCACCGGGTTAGGGTTTTTCCGTCTTTCACTGTGAGTTGTATTGGGTTGGGGAGGGGGGGTGCACGAAGGGAGGCTCCACCAATCTCATTGCACACATGTTGTATTATGACAATAAAGGTTTGAATTTGCTCCAGTTTATGGCCTTTCTTGCTACAACTACAAAGTGGATGACTGCTAATTGAAAGATTTGTTAAGTGAATGTTGCTGTTTTATGGTCTTCCTTGCCACCATTGTTAAGTGAATCACTGCAATGATTAAGCTAGTAACATGGTTGCTAAGTGAATCTGGCTTCCCCATTGACCACCCAGGCTGTGCCCACCCCCACAAGGGTAACCACAATCCTGAATGTGGGATTTCACACCCCGATTTAGATTATTAGTCAGTAAGTAATGAAGGATCACATTATAAATTGGAGCCAGCTTTAGGAAGAGATATGAAAGCCAACTCAAGTTGGTGGGAGGCATATCCCCCCCCCCCCAGTCTAATATGATGTGACCTCAGTAGCAAATGTAGACATCCTGGTATTCTTCTTTCAAGCACCCACAGAAAGAACAAAGAAGAAATGTCACACCATTGTGTTTGATGCCATCGCAGCCTATAGTTGGGGTCCAATTCCTGTTATTCCCTGCAAGCATGGCCAATACACTTATGAGCACAATTGGCCTTGGAATTTCAGTTGCTAAGTGATAGTGTGGTTAAGTGAGTCTGTCAACTCTGAAGCTGGCCTTCCTGAGGCCATCTTGGAGACTTCAGTGTTGCCACTATGGTGCTGAGGGATAGAGAGGGGGGGGGGGGGAAATAGAGATAGCTGGGGTTTTGTAGCCAAAACAAAATAGTTTTCCCTGAGGACCAAGGACATTCCCATAGGTGGCTGAAGAGAGGAGAAGTAAAGTTTCCAAGCAACCAGTCAGCACCTTGATTGGACCATGTGACTTATTGTTTGGGAAAGGAGGAAAACTTTTACTTTTAATTAGATGAAAACCGCGGGAACCTTTAGAGTTGGTTTTCACCAGTCTGTGCCAATATGATACATCCAATAAGTCTGTTCTTTGAGGAACCCACTTGCCTCGGAGGTGTGTTTGCTCTGTGTATTACCTGGAACCTTGATATGAGTCATCACATGATCAGTTCTGATTTTACAACTTTTTACCACAGTTGTTAAGCAAATCATTGAGCATTAAATAAATTCAATTTCCCCCAATTGACTTTGCTTGTTAGAACCCAACTCAGAAGGTCGCAAATCATGATCATGTGACTGCAAGATACAACTGTAAATGTGAACCAGTGGACAAGCACTTAAATTGCAATCACATGATCACAGAGGTGGTGTGATAGTCATAACTTTGAGGATGGGTCGTATGTCACTGTTTTCCGAGGCTGTCATAACTTAAACAAATGGCTAGAAACCAAGGACTACCTGTATTTTTGCATGATAGACAGCACTGTTTCCATTCTTACGCTACAATTTATTCAAGATGTCAGGAAAAATCTACCTAATAATTTATATGTGCAAATAATAACTAGTATTTTACTTATGTAATGTGTCTTGCACATATAAAGTATTTTAAAGTAGCAAGCTTGACTTCTACTGATGTGAAGTTCCCAGAAGATGACCTAATTAATTTACGAGCCTCAAGACAAAGTTCAAAAAAACCTCATTCATTTATTAGGATCAACATTCTGCCGTGTTCTCCTGCGAAGCCGAAACTGACTGCTGCTTAATTGCGTTAGAACTTTACCCCTGTGTTCCCTCCCCCCTGTCTGGGTCATAAATCACATTCACCAACAAGGTTATAGAAATATCAGATCCGACTCTGGCCGAAGGTATGCATGGATTCCCTCCAATGCTAACCTGATAATAGTCATGACAATGCTTTACAAGTTGACAACTGACTCCATGGACATTTCCCTACAGTTTTCTTGGCAACATTTTCAAACTGGTTCTGCCTAGGGCCATGATGGCGAACCTATGGCATTACCCCAGCTCAGCTCCATCGCGTATGCATGCATGCTTCCCTCCAGCCAGCTGATTTTTGGGTTTCTGCTGCCTATGTGGAGGACAGGGCACATGCGGGAGACGTGAGTGCATGTGCGGGGTCGCACAAGCATGTGTGAGGGGGTCATGTGCGCATGCATGGGGAGTGGGGGGAGTGCAGGTGCGGCGTGCCCCCATGACCCATCTTTTGTCCCAGGAGGCTGCGGGGAGGCCTAGTAGGCTCAAAATGGAGCGCTGGAATTCAGCATTCCCCCCCCAGCCCGATTTGGTCCCAGGAGGCTGCAGGGAGGCCTAGTACGCCCAAAATGAAGCCGCTGGGATGCGTTTTCCCCCCATCCCTTTTTGGTCCCAGGAGGCTGTGGGGAGGCCTAGTAGGCCCATAATGGGGCGCCAGGGGGTATAGTGTTCCCCCCCAGCTCTTTTTGGTTGCAGGAGGCTGTGGGGAGGCCTAGTGGGCCCATAATGGGGTGCCATGGGGTACAGTGTTTCCCCCCAGCCCTTTTTGGTCCCAGGAGGCTGCGGGGAGGCCTAGTAGGCCCATAATGGGGCGCCAGGGGGTATGGTGTTCTCCCCCCCAGCCCTTTTTGGTCCCAGGAGGCTGTGGGGAGGCCTAGTAGGCCCATAATCAGGCACCAGGGGTACGGTGTTCCCCCCCCC